CGTAGATTGACAAAAAGTCTACGAAATGACCGCAGTGAAGTCCAAAGAGATGGAAAAGGCAGTGGTGATAGATAACACTAGACAGTTATTGAGACTTATAAAGGAAACTAGAGCGAAAAGGTCAGTAGTTGGTGAGACGATAGATCAGAAGAACGGGTCCACGATTCGCTCGTAGGGGAGACGAGTAGAAGGAGATGTAGGACACTTCAAAGAACAGTCCAACTGGTTTTTAGCTCCTATTACGTTGCCCATCATCCGGTCGGAGTCTGAATGGAACACGAGATAAGACCCTCAACACTTGCAGAGGTCGAGAAAGTAGTAGATAACCTAAAGCGGGGAAGAGAAAGAGGGTCAGATGAGCTAGTTCCAGAGATATTTAATAATAATGGTTGTAGACTTTTAGTCAAATTAACTGAAGTGTTGGGTTTGTGGGTGTCAAATGCGATCGCCTCTGACCTGTCTCAATCACTCATCGTCCCAGTCGTCAAGAAAGGTGCGAAGTCCTCTTTTGATAAACGCAGGGGAGTCAGTTTGACGAACATTGTATCTAAGATTCTAGGTTCCATAATTATCAAAGGTCTGAGTGGAGGTCAGAAACATCAAATGTGAGGAAACTAGGCCATGCTTCAGACCTGGCCGTGGATGCACCGACCAGATATTTACTCACCCAGGTTCTAGAACATAGGCACACTTACTTACGCCCAATACTGGCCGTATTCGTTGACCTGGAGGTGTCATACGACTCCGTCAATCGGGATTCTTATGGCAGTGGTGTCCCTCAGACATGTGCACTCTCTCCACAGGAGAATCCTTGGTATATTTAGGATACAAGATGTGGTCTTCTGAACACCTTGAGTGGCAATTTGAGAATGTTCGGGATGCATTTCTCGCTTCTCAAAAGCAACTTGTTGCTCCAGGATTGGTCTTCAGCAGTATCCCGACTGACAATAGATAGTTGAGTGCGTTGACCACTTCCCTCACCTGGGAAGTCACATCAACCCTGGTGGCTCAGTGGCCGACGAAATCTTTGCATGGATACAAAAGCTTCGGCTGATTTTCGCCAACTTACGCCAACTGTAGCGCCGCCGTGATATCCAATTCTCTATTAAGGGCCGAGTGTACTGTGCTGCTATCCACTCTGTTCTACTGTATGACTGTGAAACATGGCCATTAAAAGTAGAGGAAATGAGAATGCTTCAGGTGTTTGACCACCGTTGCCTTCGTAGTATAGTTCGTGTGTCGTCACGTGAGTAACGCAGAAATCAGGTGGAAAGTTTTAGGGAGGAGAGGTAATTCGGTTGGTGCGGTTATGAACCTTCATCGACCGAGATGGCTGAGAAATATGTTACGTATGCCTAGCCGCCATCTGCCTCGTCGCGCTGTGTTGGCTGAAGTAGATTCAGGCTGGAAAAGGCTCCGGGCGACCAGACTAAAACACGGCATCACTGCAAGAAATCTTAGACTGTTGGCTTGAGCCGTGTTGGCAGATGCAGACTAGCCGGTCGGGGTTCACGTAACAACCAAAACCAGTGGTTGTAGACATCAAGTGATATGGTTCAGAATCGATGTCAGCGGTGCAGATGTACTCACACTATATTCACCCTAACCACTGTGCAAAATTCAGCATTTTGTCACTCCTATTTCCTCTCTCTTCCTTCATCTTTTATCTTGCTGCTTTGTGACTTGTTGTGCCGATATGAGGTGTGGCAACCTGAACTGCTATGAAGAAACGCATGTTTATATGTTGCTACTAACTGATTGTAGTAAAGGAGCCATACTTTACAGCACCAGTGGACTAATTTATTTCAATTTTTATATGGAGATTTCCTGCTTTTTGACTTGGTCTTCGTTTCTAATTTTTACTTCTCTGCGTAATTTTAAAGGAATAAAGAAAGTAATGATTCCTATATTAAGGAAGTAACGAGTCTAGTGGTAAACAGTTGCTAAGATTATTGGGTGCAGGAAGAAACTTCAATAGCCACTAACTTTTGTATGTACATACCAAGCTATTCTTGTTATTCTGCAACAGTAATCTGTATCTCGGTAACTAAACGCATTGATGAGTAACGCTATACTTGATGCTTACTCATCGTCAATAACACCAGAAGAACATCTGAACCCATTTAATCACCATTTTACAGTGTTGATTCCTAACACCTACCTCTGTTAACCAATTTCACAGGGATTTGTAACTCATAACTGAACATTCAAATATTCTGGGATCCTTGGAGAAAAAGAAGTGGTGAAGTCGCTAACGCTATATTTGTACGGGTGAAATTATTTGTCAGCTGCCTACAAAGCTAGACTACTTAATCTGGTGCATATGATGATATCGTTATTTAATTATTCTTTTTTTCCTATGTGCGATATTTACCGGTTTATTTCCCTGTATTTCCCGGGTCTGGCTTTCTTCTAACGAAAATTTGATCGGTGTGTAGCTATGCACAGTGCATAAGCATTGTGTAACGTGAGTTGTTTTCAGATTCACCATAGGCTGAGGTACCACATTCCAGAGACTCATCACTATCGGGTTCACATATACACCTATTTACTACATAACTTCTGTGCACATGTAGTGGCATGCTCTTATTAAAAGCATACTCTCCAGCAACGTAAGATGCCGATAATATGAAATACCTTCTAGTTGAGGCATTGGGTGAAGGTGAATTGTTAAAACATCGTAGTTTACAAACGATAAAGCATGATGTCTGTATGCCCAACGAGTATGCAGAACGCATAGGCATTACATATGACGCATGTCATTGACTTGTTCGAAGCACAATTACATGCAAAACATAAGCGAATGTGATAAATGGGCAATCCTTAAAAAAATGGTGAATTCAGACTTCCTAGCAGAAGCTGAAAAGGTGCTCCAACTTTCGGCAGTCTCTGGGTATACCGACACTATGTACGAAAAAGATTACACTTCCAATGTCATTCCGGAAAAGCCCAGGGAAAGCATTACAGATCAAATTTCGTGGATATATATGCAGAAGATATGCAAGTTTGGTGCACTCAACCTAAGTACTCAACGATTAGCTTCATTGAGCGTTTACCATCACCAATATCTAGTAAACATAGGTAGCTTGGAACGATCAGTTGTCCTTCACAAAGTTCTGTGAAGCGAATGATTTGTAAGTGTATTGTAGAGTTCCAAAAAAAATCGCAATGTCGTAATTCCGCTAAGTAATGCATTTACATGTTGCGGCTAAGTTGCACTGACAATCTGTAACAAAGGAGTTACGTCTTATACCCAGTGGTTTCAAAGCCCCATTACTAGTTTTGCCGCCAACTTCCAGAAGCTCACTAATTTTAGGTTTACAAGTGCATACTTTTGGTATCTAACCATCATTACACAGGTAGTTTTGGGTTCTTGAGAAATTTACCTGTATTACTGCAGAAGACAAGCGACAGAAAATATTTACTTCCTGCAACTTTAGAAGACCATCAGCTTTTCATAGTTCCCAATCTATGGATGTTAAGAAGTGATTTATCTACGTTAAACTAACACTAAACACATAGACCACGCAGATAACGCACACCAAAGACTTGGTTGGTCCATACTTAAGTTCACAGATGTGGTAAATAGGAAATTCATATGAACTCCCTGGTTGAAGCTGGGAAATCCATGAGACTTCTTATACCATCGGTTACTGCATTGACCCCGTAGAGGAGAACGGAGATGATACACTTTTGGTTACTCCGATGACATATTAAAATACTGGTCATCACCGTCCAAAAAATAGAAGAAAACCTGTAAGAAATTACCATGTAACTCCTTGCATACTGAGTAAGTGGATGCACAGGTAAGATACAGTAAACAGAAGCACCCTAATGTCAGTTGCACCAACCCCTAATGTAACCCATACTAAAGTTATTTAAGGGTTACTGAAGTTCTATAGCAAGTTAAGTACAAATAAGTTTACAACACCTGTACTGTGAAACAGTATTAATGTAAATAACAGCGGCAACCAGCTAGTTTCGACTAACTTATTACTAAAATGGTGCTGGATTGGTAGATATACAGGTTTTGATGACAAAACGAGATTGCTGCAAAAAATTTTCAGGATTTAGTGCTGTTGCTTATACGGAACAGACCATGAGAAAACACGTAAGACACCTATCTACCCTGACGTCGTAATCCAAGGAAAGATACGCATCACGCACTATTTCTATGGATGGCTTCCCCTTGCACTTTCCATTTATTACTGAGAACCCGTTCTACATCTTGAGGGTTTTATCTGGAGGATAGAAATCCCATGGTATATTTAAGTTTAAAGGTGAAATGAAAGTGTGGACCAGCGACCAACTGAGCTACGAGACCCGACTGCCGACCACACTTTTATTTCACTTCAATCACCAAAGGTTTTGCCCGACTGCCATGTGAATACTAGTCTGCCAAACTACGGTTATCCCAAGTACTCTCACACCGATAATGACATAAAAACCCATGTACACCAATCTCTTCCCTTCATTTTTACTAGACAAGTGGCTTTTGGAATTGTTGTTGACTAGTGACATTTTTTAGTGTTTCTGCTTATAGGAAAACGCACTTTGGCAAACGGTGGCAAGGGCTGCAGAAAGATTTAAACAACAGTAAGAATAAATAGTGTATACAGAAAAATAGAAAAAAAGCAATAAAAATGCTGGGGGAGGGAATCAAAGCGCAAAATGACAACCAGAGTAAATAAAGGGATAGATTTGTGCCTTGCCAAGGTCATGCTCGAAACGTTTACGTGGTTCTGGGTCTCTACTTACTTCAACTCTACTCAAGATTACGGACTTGTCAAGAATATTTACTTTGTCTTTACTCTGTGGAGTGATGATAGCTGGTTCGATGACCAGCCAAAAATATCTACCAAAAGTCAGGCTCCTACTCTACTTGAAGATTTGAACAAAAATTTAAAGTAATAACTTCACACACGCCTTTGCATATTTCTAAACATACGACACAGCTACTGAATAAAAGAACCAAAGAACCTAAACATGTGCAGACGTACCGCACATGACGACTTCCGCGCCTTCAAATGGCCCGAATGATTATTGACAGAACAGAAACTTACGCCTAGTTGGCTTCCACCTTTAGAACCCATGGATCACAAGTTCTCGTGGCTGTTGACCTGTGTACAAGTAAAGAGAGAGAAAATTTTGTCACTTCTTCGGAAACCTCACCCACCTCCACAGGATGCAGATGAAGCAACTCAGATCACTTCTGCAGAGGGAGCATTTCAAAGTTCGACAACTCCTAGGGAACAGAAGTCGTGTCTGGCAGTACTTTTCTCATTGGCCTTCTTCAAATTCAGACTACAGGATTGAAAAATGGTGACTAGTCGTCCAGTTTCATTTGAGCATTATTGGGAAATGAATTTTTGCTCACACTTTGTTCGCCTATGCCTAAAACTTGAAACTGCACGGGTGTCAATAAACATGGATGGTGGCTAGCAGTGTAATCTAGGATGTGAGCTCCGTCCTACTTGGGACCTGTCAGCCAGATATGCTTGCCTTCCAGTGAACTATGTTGCTCCTACTAGGAACCTAACTCTAAACCAATCGCTTCAAACGCCACTACATTATCCACTAGACCACTGAGTCGTGACAGCAACAACAATATACACGAGTGCCAGCTATTATTACTTAGTCCTCTTTTGATATTATTTCTGCTCGTGATAAGTCAGATGAACAGAAGCTTCCGAAGCCCACTGCATAGACTGCAGATCGGGGGCATCAGAGATATCTGTACAACGTGTGTGTGATACGACAAAGCTGAAGGCGCTACAGAAAAGTTTTCTGAGAACGGGGGAAACACAGAATGCCGACTAAGGTCTGCTGGAGGCCCAAAGTCTACAACCCACACCACCCTTAGTCCTAAAATATCGGCCACTCGATATGCAACAGATAAACCAATGCTCCCGTGGAACCCAACACGTGGAGAATGACGCACAAAGCATACAGTGATCCGAAATGATCCCGTAACTCCTCCTGGAATTGGCAGAAATACGAACAGTAGCTCCACCAAAAGGGTTCTATGTGCTGGGCTACGTCCCACTAGTAGCGAGAACACAAATAGACATCGCAAAACCCAACCAAATCGTTTATTAATGAGAAGAGCCAGCATCAAAAAGGATTTAATGGAACGTCAGCAAGGTACTTTGTGAGGAAAAACCTTGATCGGCTGCATGGCACTAGCTAACTAGGAAACAGCCCCCGACCCAACATAACGCCAGTTATGTCTGTTGTGAATTGTAACAGAAGGCAGTCACTGGTAAGGAACACAACGCAGGGCAGAGGTTTACAACGGCCGCGAAAACACGATGCATTTTATCCACTACGTCCCTATCAGCTGCAGCCTTGGCCAAACAACTGTTAGGAATGTGGAAGGCACCCACTCTGAACCGCTGATCTTAGCGCCCTCGGAGCAACAGAAAAGACACAGTCAGCCATACACACAAGTTCTAGACTCCAACTACCCAAGTGGCGTCAACAGATGCGAAAACACAAAAGGTCTATTGAATCCTCCAAGTGATGTTACCAGCCTTACACACCCAGCACGTGCAACAGTAAAATTACCTACCCTCTGTGAAACAGATACATATGCTAGAGGCGAATCCTTGCATGTGGTCAAACTCTGTGTATGCGGATATGGTGTGCACACTGAACACCTTAGATAAAAACCTTGCTCTGTTCTCCCCTGACAAAGGTGATACTATTCCAGGTCAATGTGCGGCCGATTCATCACCGGGATATCCTTGTAACTCTACGACTGCAAGTGAGCAAGGCGTAGAGACGTTTTGCAAAGCAACGACGTCAGACTGCATCCGATAAAGCGACACTGAGATGCCTTTTGGCATGCTCAGCAAATTGGAAAGCTTTACACATTATCACTCCTCCTACTTGTACATCGTTCTGGTAAACGCAAAGTCCGTCCTCAGCAAATTATCAGCATTAAGAGGAATGGCGTTCATGAGTAAGCCACTTGTAATAGTTATCACTAGGTCTTGGTGCCACGCAAATGTACCAGATGAAGAGATAGGCACTGATGTGTACTCACAATTCCAATGTGACCGGAGTAACAAGAAAGGAGGAGGTTGCCTGATGTACTTCCTGAACAGTCTCACTGTATTCAGGTTGGAAAATATGGTTCTTGATAAAATAAGTGACTCCTTATGGGTCACAGTACACCACAGGAATGTTACAACATTGAAGGGATGTGTTTATAGAGCGTTTAGTGCCTTCAGAAATCATGAGATTTCATTGATTACGGCTCTGGAACATGCATCCACTCTCCCATATGATCATAAGATCATATGCGGCGACTTTAACCTGCCTGAAATTAAGTGGGATTCACTTACTGGTCCAGCTAGGTGGGACGACGTTTTCCATTCGCCGGCTATTTTCGGATGTAAGCAAATTGTTACTACTCCTACAACAGGCGACAATGTATTGAACTTAGTATTTTGCCACAACTTAGCTCCTATTTTGACAAATGTAGGCTGCAAGTTCCCAGGAAGTGATCACAAAATGGCATTATGCCCACTACCACTTCTCGCAACTAGTACTTCAGTTGGTACTTTCACTCCACACCCAATGGCATATACAGACAACGGTAGGACGGGTTGGCAGCAGATTTGCCCGCTGGTTAGGTGCGTCGACCAGCTGCGGACCTCAAATTAGCCATTGATATATTCTACTACAACTCTAAAACTTGTCCCGACACCACTGTTCCATTGAAAGGATTCAAGAAATGCAGCTAAACGGTAAGCCATATATACCTCCCAGCGCTCATTGAAAGTTACGCAGACTCTCAACAAGATACTACAGACATCATGACTTCGATTGATTCTTCGTATTCCTAACTCTATGTCACATAACCATGGTTTGCGTTTGAAGGGTGAAGAGAGTAGTGGGCTAGCGAGCTCATCTGGAGTATATGCTCTTTCAGCACTCCCTAAGAAGCGATCGAATAGCACAAGACATAACATTCCTCTTCTTATCCATGACATCAGAGCCAATAATGATCCAGTGGATATGTGTGAAATATTCAGCGACTTCCTTGCAGTTAGAAATCCAGAACCTGCAAATTTTTCTTGTGATACTTTAAATTTGGTGACACTATATTCCATAATTATTACCTAAATTGTTTTCTCTGTCTTTGGAGTCTTTCACATACCGTGATGTATAGAAAACATCATTTATCCTCCTAGATATAAATCTGGTTCAGAAACACTAGCCAGTGACTACAGACCAACAAATATTACGCCTGTAGTTTCTAGAATTATGGAGAAAGTTATTAAAGAAAGCATTCTTCAGCACATGCTTAGTGGCAACACCACCACATCGAGTCAACATGAGTTCCTAAAATCGAGGTCCTGTGTAACTTGTCATCTTCACTTCTTTAACTTCATAACCACCATGCGCGACCGGCACCAATTAGTCCTTGTACTCTATTCAAACATTTCAAAGGCATTCGACAGAGTCGATCACTTGCTGTTAATAAGTAAGTTGATGACTATGGGAACTGACTACTCACTATTGGGATGGATTAAGTCTTTCCTCAGTAATCGCACTCAAGTGGTGAGGGTAGGTTCACACACTTCAAAACCTAGGCCAATCACCTCTGGGGTAGTTCAAGAAAGTGTGTTAGGTCTCGTTCTCTTTACTTTATTCGCCAATGATGTATGCAGCTGCTTTACATACGGTAAACCATTCTTGTTTGCTGATGACCCAAAAGTCGCATAAACGTTCACCCACGGTGAGTTATCCGACTTCAGAGCAATAATATAAAGAGAGCCTGATATCATATCCGCGTTGTCTGATGCTTGGACACTTCTGTGCAATATAAGCAAATGTGGCTGGATATGTTTTCGTACTCCATCGGTGGACATCCAACCACACATTCAGTCTGCGAAACTACATCTCATCACAGACCTGCAAATCTGGGATAATATTCGATCGCGTAATCCGTAGCTTTCACTTCAAAGACTCCAAGTTACTTCCGTATAAAACATGTAAACAGCCACTATTAGAACTTTGTCCACTCATATTGAATGGTGTCCTCACTAAGGACAGGCTAAAAATAGAGGGTGTCCAAAGCTATTTTACAGCCAGATTACTAGGACACAATTGCAAACAGGACTACAGCTCCAGATGCAGAACACTAAGTCTAGAACCACTTTGAATGAGACGACCCAAAATTAACCTGACAATCTTCTTCGATGTGTTACACAAATCCACTTTAACACTCAGTGGTGGGCTTCAGTTTAAACGCAACAGTTGGTACCGCCCGTGCAACCAAACTCAGAGTCACAAGGAAACTGTCCAAATCCTGCTTGCGTGTAAACTTCTTCACCGTCACATTTGCTAAGTTGTGGAACAGACTTCGTGCTAGAGTGAAGGCCCCCAAACCAATTTCTGAATTTGGTCGGTTACTAGTTAACTTCTTATCATCTGGAAACCCTTCTGTCCCACTGAACACACCAACAGTATCCTTCATGAAATTTCGTATGCTGCACCATCTTAATTTCAACCCCAATGCCCTAAAACCCACTAGCTTTACTCCAATTACCGCTAGTTCATGTACTAGAGTGGAGTTCACTGCCAAAAGTATCACTGAGGCTATCAAAAGCCTGAAACTATCGACGGGTACGGGGGTAGATGGCCTAAACTCAATAGTCATCGGAAACAGTGGTGATAATATGCCGCTGTTCTTGCTTAAGATATTCACACTATCAATGTAAAGTGGGAGTGTCCCAGCGAGTAGAAAACTAGCTTCATAATTCCCCGCTACAAGTCCGGTGACAGAGCGAATGTTGGGAACTACAGACCTATCAACATAACTCTAGTCGTCTCCAGGATCATGGGAAAAGTGATTAAGAGTGGCGTGTCTGACTACCTACTTAGAGAAAACCTCATCACAAAGTCTCAGCACGGTCTCATTAAAAATAGGTCTTGCGTTACTTGCCATTTCGACTTCTTCAACCTTGTCGATGGTAGCCGCGAGGCACGTAAAATCGTCGTTGTTTTGTACTGTGA